CTAAAGACCTGTATAATCATTCCATATTTGCTCATTTTTTAAAAGATTAATTTTATTTTAGAAAAATCAACTCAATAAGTTAGTTCTGGCTGTGATAAACTGCATTTTTTATTTGATAAATCAGATGTAACTAAAAATCTGTGCCACTTTCACATTCTGTTTGCTACCATTGGCCTAAGTAAATTATATTCTAGGCAAAAATAGTGACGAAAATAGCAGTGTAAGTACTATTAGAAAACACATGAGTTACGAAAACCAAGTTTTAAAAATAACAATATTTATTGTTTTTCTGAGTCGTTTTTGATCAAACGTTTATTTAAAACATGTTCACTCTCTCAGCTTGGACGCTTATAAAAGCATTATTTTATTCTCACAAAATATTGCCCGTTCCAATAAAAGTGAGCTTTTAAAAATAAATATGAAAGTTACCCTCGAAATGACCTCCTTAATTTGATTTATCACTCACATCCCAACCATCATGTCGCTCCAGATTCACATCGGAAATAGAAACGATGATCGGCATAAAGACGAAACATCGCCAGCAATAATGTGACAAAGCGTGACAAGGACTGGTTTATTGTAGTGTGTGGAAGAGGGCAACCGACAGCCACGACGGACAGCGGCGACACACGGTGTCGCGGTGCAGGTCTTTGTGAGAAAAGGGCGACGCTGTGTGGACGACAAGTCGCGAGGAGCCAGATTGCGCGATGAGGGAAGATGAGGAGGGGAACCTCCTGTGCAGACGCGCGCGGCAGTCGCAATGCGCAGGTGCCCCAGGCTGCGCGAACGGCTGCGATCGGACCGGTAATTACGACTCCGGGTAGGCGAGGGATCAAAGGGCGTGGCGCAGAGCCCTCTGGGAAATCATTAATCGCCTCCCCTCACCTCCCTTCATCGCCATTACTCGATCACCATCACCATCTCCGCCCCGCCCACGCCACCGGCACGAACCGCCGCTCCCAGCTAACCGATATTCCCCGGCCGCCTCGCCACCGCCGCGCCCAGCCTTTACCGCCATACTCCTTCATACCCCTTCATCCACCTCCAACCGGCCTTCCGGTGCCGTTTGCACTCGCTATCACCATTGCCCTTCTCTCTCGCCCTCGCCTTCACTTTCACCCTCGTCTTCGCCTTCCCCTCTCGCCCTCTCACTCGCTCTCCCCATCGTCCTCGCTTCCACATTTACCTTTGATTCCGTGACTGCCCCTACTCCGGGGCTTTAATGCTTCCATTTATCCCATTGGTGTCACCAGAACAGAGCTTCCACAACCGTTTCGAATTCCCCAACTGCCCTCCCCTTCACTTCCTCCACAACGCCCCTCACTCTTGCTTTCGTCTGCTCAACTGTCGCATGCGTCTCAGCGATTGCCCCTGTTTCCGCCAGCCCCCTTCCGCACTATTTAGCACCTTCACTCCCATCTATACAACTGTCCACGCATTCTCCATCGCCCCCTCTCCCTCATCACCAACGCCTATGCAGCCGCGCCCATTCCTACCGCTACCCATTTCTACTCTGATTCCTTCGATTCTACACTACCACCCTTATTTGCTCGTGATCTGGGCTGTCCGGGTGACGCCGCGTCGAAGGCTGTGTTGCCGTCGTTTCGACCATCTTGTCGTGGTCTTTTTCAGGCCTGGTATGCATACCAACCCTGACGAAGACCACGACAAGATGGTCGAAACGTCGGCAACACAACCTTCGACGCGGCGTCACCCGTTCAGCCCAGATCACGCACATGACTCTGGCCGCGGAAGCCTACGACTTAACCCTCATTTGCTCTTCCCTCACTCTACCTACGCCTACGTCTGCTCCCCAGAAACATTGTCGTTGTCTTTGCATCGAGTCAGGACATCAACTGATGTTACAGCAGTGTTTCTGACCGAGAGGTCCTAGGTTTCGAGTCCCGGTGGTGACAGGATTATCGACACTTGCTAGATAGCTAGGTCGAATTCAGTCGCTGACTGGAGGAAACTTCTAGCGACCGTCTGCTCTCACCGTTAATTTTCCTTGGTTTCTCCGATCAACACCCGGGGAATGCGAGAGCAGTATCTTAACAAACGGACGCATGTGGCTTTTCCTCCTTTTCAGTCCCCTCCTCTGTCAACACACACTACCCATTTACCTCCCTGGATGCAACATACATTACAAGTACGAGACTAATGTCCATAGCTGTAATGAATAACGATCATAGTTCAGCTGACGTGTGCAGAAACCCCAAATAATCAATTCTTGAACAAGCTACTCCACCGTAGCTTGCGTTCCTCCTATCTCTTGGTGTGGCGCTGGCTCCACCTCCGTTAGCGAAGCGGCCTCTTCCTTGCCTGCCCCCCCTCCCCCCCGACGCCACCGAGTTGGCGGGACCGCTCGTTCAATCCCTCTCGGCGCATCTCAATCTCGGGCCTCCGACGCGGTTGTCGATTCCGTTGCGGAACAGCGCGCTGAGGACTGTTTCACAGCACTTCGCACCTGTCTATAATGCATAGGGTTTCAAGGGTCCGCGCCAGGACAGGCACTAATTAAAAGGGAAACAAGGCCGTCGACGGCGACAATAACGAGGGGAATTGCAGCTCTACAAATTTATTAAGACACTTTGTTTTCAGTAAAATGCAATATGGAATCTTGCATCCCACAGTATCTATCGTTAATCTTTAACTATAACATTCTATAGCTTACCATCTTTAGTAAATAATTTATTACAGTGATACTATTAAATATTATAAATTAATGCGGTTAAGGCTACATTTAATGAAGTTTGATTTAAATAAGAAAACCCGATAATGTAAATTAACTGAAATTGGCAATAATAGGTTTGGAAAATTATATCCTTTTTGATCTATTGTAACTCATAAATGCTTTCACTTTTCGATGTGTGATTAAATTGAAACAACATTTCAGTAAATCTATTACTTTGCAAAATATTATTTCAAGCAAAATTTTCTACTTGCCTTCTCTACACATACTACCATTTCTTACCAATTCTTGACGCATTACCATACATTGTGGAATAAAATGTGAACACTGTAAAAAGTATGGATAGTCATCGATCAATAAAAATTGCGTAATATTTAAAGGTGCAATTAAGATATGTCGTTTTTATGTGTAACTTACCACTATCATGTTCACATTCCTTATTATTAATCAGTTTTCCTACCACATACCGTCAGATCAAATGAACAAAAAAATACTCAAAATTCTAAGTTTTGGGTTATTTCTATTTTAAAATTTAATATCGCTCTAAAAATATAGGTTTAGATCCCCTGAACTTGAAGTTTAATATTAATTATCGCAAAGTAAGCTTTATATTTCAAATTCAAATTACATAACTGACATTTTCAGTGTTATTAATGCTTAATTTTAATTCGTAGAATTTTGAGTGGCTGCATTTGCAATCGGACCGTCGATATACATGTTGGTGATTATGGTGAACACCTCTGCTGAGTCCTGATCACAAGACGCACCCATCTGTGTTACATACCTGTCTCTCCTATAATCGTTCCGATGTGATTCATAAGCTTATATATGTGACGTGCGTAATTTATGATCGGACCAGTGTAGATCGAGATCAATGAGTAACTACTTATTTTGTTTTACAGATAGAGGCCTGGCCATATCTATGACACAGGTTCTGCAGCATTTAAGGCCAGTATATCTCACACAGCTGGTTTTCACAACTCAATCTTATGAGAAGAGAAAAATGAATTAGGACAAAGACGAAGTGATGTATGTTATACCGTGCCACAACAAAACTAAAAACGCAGGTCTTTCGTTGGTTGCAAACCCACGCCTTCATGTAACGCGCACTTGAAGCAAATACACTCGCGAACAGACCTCATTACTCGCATGTTATTACGTAATGTAGTACTAAAAATCACTCGAAGGTTTAACACACAGAAGATGAAGAGGTAAGCCTAGCACTCATTTTTAATTATTTTTTTTTGCCATTGTCCGTCATTCAAATTTTCTAACGATCTGCGGTTGCTTGTAGCTTCAATTTCAAATACTAATACAAAAGAAACTTAATTATATTACTGATGGAAACACTCTCAACGCGAGGTAGTGTAAATATGAGTGAAACCGGGGAACAACTGACCAGCGCGCTCACCTTTACCCTAGAGAATAAGTATTTTTTACGAAATTTTATACTTTGCATTTACAATAGGAATTAAGCGCTATTTTAACATTAAAACTACATTTGAATATCATTGGGATTTTAGCAAACTGAATCACTCCTAAATACAAATTGGTCCATGATTGATAGAGGAAACGGATGAGATAGAGTTTAGATTGCAATTGTATAGCTTGGAAACGCTTAACGCTTTTACTTTACTAATACACAAACATAAAAATATTCGCTTGGATCAGAGGAGAAATCCCGATCGACCGGTATAATTCGTTGACTTTGAATAATTAATATTACATTGTTTATGCCATGAATTTGTTTTTCCATTTTTCAACCCTCGAGTTTATGTTTTTAATTTCAGTTTAATTTTGAGATAAATGTAGCGAATAAACGTGTTAAATAATGTTAATAAAAGGTACAATAATAAATATAACAAAATACATAGATAATAACATTATTGTATAATCTAAATTACATAATTAAGGTATAATGAAGTTAATTAGTTATTCTTCCTTTAACGCACTTCTTTAAGCATTATAAATTTCAAATGAGCGCCGCACTGCCTCTCGGTCCACGAAGTGACAGAAGAAGGCTCGATCTACTACATGTTAGCTTAATCCCACTGAGTATTAAAGTTAACAGTGTTAAGGATTAGTTTAACCAAACCGAGGATTCCAGTTAATATCCGGTATTATTTTAACTTTCGGTATTCACAGCAATCTTATGTCCTCTGGAATTCCTATAAAGAAGGGTGAAAGGTTCCTTTATCCCAGAGGTCCTAGCACCTTAAGCCAAGCATTCGAAGGAGTATTTTCAATAACGCATATATTATTTCCCTTCTTTGCTTAGAATCTCTTTCTTTGGTCTCTGCGTAAATCTCTATAAACAACCACCATACATTTTCTCGTGCGTGTTTCCAAATTCTTCAAATTGTGGATGATATTGTCTTAAATTATTAAACCGCACAATCGATTCAAAAGTCACATGCAGCATTGCATGGATGACTATAATAAGATGTAGTTTATGAAAATTACACAACTTCTTTACGAGAACACTTATCTCTCGTTCCACTTTAGCATTTCCAACGGGGCGGAATCTTCGCTAAAGCGCATTTCCATGGAAAAGCCAATGGATCGGTTTGAGAAACTGCCCTGCCACAATTTGTCAGCTTCGTCGACGTCCTTCCCAAAGAACCGAGCTGCCCGCGTCGACGCGCCGTGTGTGGGTTCGCACTGGGAGTAGATCGGGCAAAAAACGCTTCACCTCTCTCCAAAGCGGCCACGAGGGTGGGGGAAAGGGCGAGGGGAAATGCGGGTGTTGCAGGAGCAAGAGCGAGTGAGTGAGCGAGCGGGTGACGGAGACCTAAACGAGGACGGAGGGAGGACCCGAGGGCAACGGGAGGAGATTGGGAATGGGGGATGGGTCGGAGCCGGGCAGAGTAAGACGGTGAATGGGCGGGGACGGGGACTATGAGACATAAGGCGAGGGCGAGGAACGGGGGAGAGTGGGCGTGAGACGGTGGGGCGTTGCGGGGCAGGGCCAGAGGGGAGGATGATGGGGCTAGAGGGGTGGGTAAGGGGGACGGGGACGGCGATGAAGCCCGCAGGGCCTGCCAATATCGCCCTGTCTGTGTCGCGCCTCGGGACACTTTGGCTTCCGCGAACGGCCCCACGGCAGAGCCCGAGGGCGCCACGCAGAGAAGGGGCGTGAAGGTATGAACTGCGGGCGTGCCCATGAACATGCCGATGGAGGGGACGATTGGGGGCAGTTATGGAGCAAAATAAAAACAGATCATGCTCAATACAATTATGTTATTGTTAAGTTAGAAAGACTAATTATAACATAACTATTTCTTCGTATTCTTGTATAAAAGTTGGAATGTTTATACTTAAGGAGGGTATGATAATACTTGGTAACAATGACTGGAATGCGCGTTTATTTCATAATCCTAAGATATTGCAAAATAGATTTTAACAACCCTGAGATGCGAGGAGTGTGGAATACGGAATGTGCACTAATTATTGCAACAGAAACATAAAATATAACAATCATAGAAAAGGCTAATACAAAGGCTAATAATTGAATACAAATGTCTACAGAACGAGAAAATGGAAGGTACACAAGCATGATAACTGTATTAAGAAGTTTAAAAACTAAAATATCCTATCTCTTAATAATTGCGTTGCATTCATTTCCACATTCAATTATATAACAATGTTTATATTCAGTCCTTTTCAGGATGATCGTGACACATACTTCGTTTAGGCAAAAAGAATCGGAGAGTAAAAATTATATCCGAAAAACCACAAGATGAAAATGCCTCACTCATAATCGCACCACTCTCCTTCTCTCATGCATGTACAATATTAACCAAACAATAATAAACAATAACAAACAATAATAACAAACTTTGGTTACAAGAGTAACTCAGCCAAATATCTACGAATTCTGATTGACACAAAACCGTACTTGGAAAGCACACACTCAATCAATTGCTGAAAAAACGGATGGTAAGATAAGACGGTAAGACATTTGGTCCTGCTCTTGCCCTGTCCATGCCCTTAGAGCATTTCGCCCTAAGGAAGGTATTAGAATAGCGGCCTCAAGTTTGCACCTGTGCCGAGGATGGCCATGAAGCTCCCAGACTGCTAAGTAATGCTAAAATCTTTATATTATGTCCCCTAATTGACAATATATTCTCTGTCAAACTTGAAGCTGATTTATAATTATAAACGTACATAATAAGACCTCCAAATACATTTCACATTTATCCAAATTATCCCAACTTTATTCCCCTATTAAAATACTTTTAGTTTATGAAAAACTGGAGGTAATAATTTACATAACGAAATTACGCTTTCGCAAATACAAATTTCGAGCGACTTAAAATAATGTAAAACTAACATATAATAACGAATATTGCATCATCTACTGGGATTCGCTGCGTGGATTGCGTCTTCTGCCGGCAGCCACCTCACTGGACGGTTCCGGTTTATTGGCGTGTCGAGAAGAAATGTGGAGTAAGTGCCGGGTGTGTCGAGACCGGCCAGGTATAAATTCGCCGATGCCGGCGGCCGCGAGTCAGTCAATAAGTAGTAGAAGTAGTAAGCAATCAGTCCGTCAATGTGTGTATGCAGTAGTCTGTTTGCAGTGGAAGCTGAGCTGTGAAGTGTGCATTGCGGTAAACAGTGGTGCACAGCAGTCAGCAGCTTGAAGTCTGCAGTGGAAGGTGAGCAGTGAAGTGTGCATCGCGGTAAACAGCAGTTACAGTGAACACTGATCTGCGCAATGAATTGTGGTCTGCGCAGTGAACTGTGGCCAGCGCAGTGGACCGTGGACAGTGCATCGGACTGTGCGATAGTGTAGAAGAAGTGAACAGTGCAAATAAATAATCGGAAGAAGTAAACAGTGTAAATAAATAATCAAGAAAACGGAGTCGGGTGTAAGGAAAATAAGTGAAGAACACAAGGACTGTGTAATATATCTGTAAATAAATCAAGTATTTTTAGTATATCATTGTTTACAAATAAACTTTTTTGTTAAAATTTTACCTGCGTGTTTTAATTCACCACCGGAAAACATAACAATATTGAAAATTGAGAATCACTAATTTACACATAGTTAATAAAGACTTGGACTAACGTAAAAACTAATTTGAAAAATTTCAGATAATTCTTGAGTGTAGTTCATCCTACATGTTCAAAAAATTGTGTTAAAAAACTTTTTAAAAAAGAGCATACTGAAAAGGAGGACATTTTATATGTAAGAAAAATATTTTTCTCATTGAAAATTCTGTTAACCGCGAAGGCGTGACTTCAGTTCCAACAGCTGAAACTGACCCAAATATCAGGTATAGACAACTTTAAAAAGATGTTCAAAAGTTACATCACTTATATATAATCCCAAACAATGCGTTTCTGATAAGAAAAATGTCAAATTATCTTGAATAATTAAGAAAATATTGCATGTGCAAATACTCCTTCGTATTAATTTAGAAACACGACCGAGATAAATTATTACGCAAAAGCACTTTTACTCCCGGCCTCTAGGTATAGGCATTCCTAAACCTGGAGTCAGAGAGGGGAGTGTTTTTGTGAAGGTGCCTCTGACGCTATGCGTTGGATGATACGTATTTTGCTCTTAAATGTTCAACCTTAGCTAGCCTTGACGAGGGAACAATAAAGTTCCGAAACGTTGGCTGATTAAGATTTTTTCATTGAACGACCCCAAAATAACATTCCTAGAATTAATTATGCATTGTAAATATGATTTTTGTTTAACCTACCTTTTGCCAATAAATATAAACAATCCGACAACCATTAAGTCAACCCCACATATTGTATTTTCTGTTTGACAGAATGCATAAAGTAATTTTGCTTTTTTTAAAGATTTAGCTTATAATGCACTTACCTGACTCGTTAAACGTCAGTCAAACCAAACAGCTATTGTTCATAATTTGATTCAGTTCTCGTAATTAACCAACGCAACAAGTCGCGGGAAAGAATAAAGATCTTTCAAAAACCTCTACATATGATTACTAAATTATTGCAACATATTTACTGAAATCAACAACTGTGTCTAACAACTGAAACGGTTCTTAACGGTTTCAGTTTAGTGCCTTAATACAAGCTATAAAATAACTTACCAACAATACTTCGTATGCTCCATAAAACGGGGTTGTAAAACTTACCTGAAACAAATGGAAAACATAATTATCCAATGTCAATACACCTACTCACATGCTTCAATTAAATTACGAATTTATAATATACAAGTGAAATTAGTTTTCGTCTACATGTAACGAAGAAATAAACTAGTACCACCAGAATCACTGCCTCAAAATTTAGCACGAGTACTTTTGGGCAACAAAAATTAAAATTGTTTTATTTGCTACTTAAAAAGATATCCCTATATGGGATTTTTCTTATAAAATTACATTTTGGGGGATTGTAGTTTCTCTATGCAAACATGGTAATTCATAAAATCAAAATCTGAACAAATGAACCGAAAGAAGAACCTACCAAGAAAATCAGATACCCTTTAGTAGAAGTATAGAGTATATAGAAATATCTAGTATCTTAATTGATGAATAATGTTACTGAAAATTAAGTTGAAAATATGATTTTCGTATAATAAAAAAGGTATACATATTTGTCGTGTTTTGAAGCAATGGTTGTTGCAGGAAATTAAACATGATTCTATTTCTCTGATGTATTTGTGGGGTGAACGTAAATCATACTGAATGAAGAACTGATGCTAAAATTATGTCAGATTGGGTGGTTTTGAAAAGAAGTAATCTTTATGATTCTTGAGACAAAGTTTACCTTTCGGAGGTCAAGGAATGTTGAAATTGATAAGACTACTATAGCAATATAATGTATAAAAGAGGTAAAAGAGTTCCTAGGAAATGAGTAGTCTGAGGAATTGAAGATGTGCTTAAACGTTGTTTTTTAAGGTTGTTGAAAATAGACGTAAAAAGGTTTTTAGGCATAGTAAAAGCCTTTGCTAAATCTGAGTTCACTGATATCTTGCATTGCTGTAATCTTGTAATTGCCAAAAAGACAATTCGACTTTACGTTTTACAATGTGACAATTCCTTGAAAGTTTTATAATGACACATAAAACTCCACAAACGTCATAGGTATTTTATATAATATAAATAAAGGTATATTAATTGAGTTTCGATGTTACTTGGCTTTGAAAGTTAGCGAAGTGGGGACCGGGATTTGGGAGTGGGAACAGGGCAAGGCAGGACAAGGCAAAGTATGGTGGTGTAGGGATGGGATGCACTAGAAAACACAGGAAATATAGGATTGCATTGATAGAATTCCTTATCCTGTGTAATACATGATTGTGATAAATGAACAATCGCGCAATGCGAGACACTTCAGTTCGATATCAACAAAATAAAATAAATCGTCAATAAAAATGAAATTCAGCCACAGAAAGAGTTGACTTTTCAAAATTATATTTCTGTGTCCTAAAATGTGCAGTCAAATATCGAAGAAGTTATTTCTTATCAAAGAGAAGCAAAATAACTAGAAGTGTTACAGAATGGACAGATTTTCCCGTATAAGCTTTCTATTTCCACTGCTTTCGCCTAGCTATGCGAACTTGCCATATACTCAAGACTGCCATCTATCGCTGCTAAAAATACATATTTTTGACATTTTCTTAATTTTTCTATATCCTAATATTAAAATGGAAATATTAATATAATAACATTGAGAAACCGTAATACCTTGTCCTAAATGGCAATTTCCTTCGAAGACTTAGTAGTCGCTTTTTAAGGAAATTGCGCTTATGCGCAACTGTAAATTCGAAATTTGAAGTTCTTTTGCACAGAAAAATTTTGAGTTTTAGTAAAACTTCATTAGAAGTAATTTAAAATACATGAACTCACAAATACAAAAGTGATTACAAATTTCTGTAAATGTGCATATTTACGGCGCGAAGTATTTCAAAAAATTAGATTTTGAAGTATTGAAAACACAAAAGAATACCCCGAAATGAACTAAACGACATATGAAAGAGTGTATTTAATACTATCCGTTGGAAAAGTTTGAAAAACAATTGGTGCTATTTTGGAGATATTGGCGTTTGATCGTTACAAAAAATGCGGAATTTTCAGCTAGTTTACACAGAAAACTGTCGAGTTTTCAAGAATCGTTATATAATATTATTTAAAGCACTTGAACTTGTAAATGCTAATTTGTATAAACAGATTCACATTAATGAAAATATTAATGACGTGAGACACCAGTCAAAAATACATTTTTGTAGACAAGAAAAGAATAGCTCAATTTGGCGTTTATGTCATATTATATAGTACATTTAGCACTTTCCCTACCATTTCTCATTTCCCTATCTACCTAAGAAAACATTTGGAGCCTGTTTTGAGAAAATCTTGTTTTTGTAATTTTTCAAAATTGCACATTTGGATGCAATATTGCACGGAAACTTCTAAATCTTACAAAAAAATGTACATGACGTTAATGAAAAAACTTACTAGGGATAACAAATTTTCTTCCAAAGTAAAATATTTACTATATATTACTATCATATTTGTAATTGTAGGCAGACGCCGAAAATTCAGAGTTAATCCTGAAAATCGGATTTATGACACATGTATAATTGTATTTTACTCTACTTTAGGGAAAATTTAACCTTCGGGTGCTCGCGCGATTTAGCGCAACAAGCGCGATTGCGGACGGTATTCTGCTTTCGCCTGGTAATGATCGGAGAAACTACGGACAACTACCGATCAGAAAAGCCGACTGCCAGAATTCTTCTCTAGACAACCGTTACATGCGACCTAGCTATTCGTATTTAGCTATTGTTAGCTAGCTATGAAAACCCGTCACCATTGGGACGCAAAACCCCTAAACGTCCCTTTCAGAGATGCTGAAGAGAGAGTAACAATGTTGGTTGAGCTGAGCTAAACACACCTGATATGTTTGAAAAAAATTCTAACCGAACGCAAACACCAACTGCTCTGCTCATTAATTTGCCTATCAACACGAGCCAAAAGACGGAGCAGTGCCCCAAGAGATGCGACACAGAATATGGGTCTACGCAGTATCTCCCATTTCTCATCCTTATCTCCTCTTTCTTACATACACACACGCACACTTTCATACACTACGCTACCCACGTCGGAAGAACTCAGCAAGCAGACCTGTCCGGAAACTGATCTCACCTTCCAGCAGACGAAAGAACGCCGCCACAAACTGGAATATAATAGGCACCACACTAGTATAGTAAAGGAAATAATCTCCACAAAAGTTTAACTTTTGTGGAGATTATTTCCTTTACCATACTATGGATTACCACAAGACATCTGCTATCACCACGGAATTTAGGCATCACACTTACGAGAATAATGTCCACAACAGTTGTCGCGCCTGTGAACACTGAATAACTATACAATCAATCCAGTGGTAGAGCGGTGTTCGAAGTGAGGATTGTACCTGTTACAGTCACGCGAGGGGAATAGCAGACTGTACAGCGCAGGCACTTAGTACAGAGAGTAGAAAAAACACTCACGCTCATTAAAATTGTATCGTTAAATTATTTTTTTTATTTTAAAACGTTTGTGTTTGTTTCAAATGTACAATTAATCATGTCAATATGTTTATTTGAACATTTTTAACAAATTACTGATTTTTTTGTTTGTGTGTTTAACCTCAATTTTAAAAGTATTTTGTTAACTTATTTTTAGAGAGTTTAAGATTCGCATTTGTATGATTTAACGAATGTGAACACTTCATATTGGTTATGCCAAAGGGCGAGGTTGATAGTTCAAGCCCCTCCAGGTATATGAAGTTTTTGTTAAAGCGAGAGCGCTCTTCGATTTCTCACTCTTTCCCATGGGCCCACTGTCCGTAGGTGAGGTGTGAGAGACTGAACGGGCCAATCGAGGGTGAAACGTGAGAGGTGACGGATGTTTGGAGGATTCTACACTGCGCCGCGCACCACTGCCGACAGATTGACTTGACGGACAGGAAATTAAGAACCTGATTGGAAACAGTTTTGCAGTGAACATTGTCATCCTTTTGATAGAAAAGCTACGTGTACTTCACAAACGACCCTATAGTCTCTTCTCCTGAATTTCAATCTCCAGAAGAGAATTAACTAGTACTACAATAGAAAGCTGCCTTGTTCTGAAAACAAATATTAAAGTTTTCTGAGTTCACTGTTCATAAATTTGCCTTGTTGGTGGAACTCGACACTGTTGTATATAGTAAAAATAAAGAGTGACTGTAGAACAAGGTAACAAGAATTTCGAACGAAACTGGAAAAATCATATGTAGAGTAATCGAGTTTCTACTGTCACTAATGTGACACATTTAAATTAACACGCTTGAGATAGAAAGAGCACATTCATCTCTTATACGCTTATAATGGAAAACATGCAGACAAAAACCGCAGGTATTCAAGAAAGTAAGCCGGCCACTGCCGCCGCACACAATGTTTCCCACGCATGAGCGGGGCGGGGCGGGGCGGGCAAAAACGGCTTAGTGCGCTGGCGGGCGGCGAAAGCGCCCAAAAAGCCTTATGAGCGCTCCCTGGAGCCCTTTTTCGCGCCGCCTGAAAGCCAGGCCATGTCCCGGTCGCGGAGGCAGCCGTGGCCGCCTCCGCTGCCGCTGCCTTCCGCCGCTCGTCAACACAGCCAGAGACATCACTAACGCACAAAAAGAGGCATTCGCATGTTGCTGTGTGCTTTTGAGGGTGAAGGAGTTAAATCTGTGCGCTAACAATCCTATCCTGGACTTACTATTTTTTGTTTATTTAATAGGGCTCAAAAACTGGCGATAGGTGTGGAAGAGCGTTGTGGTGCAAAAGACGAAGTTATCCGAAAATTAGTCAATGTCAATAATAGCGAAATCTATCAACTATTCTTTAACAGCATTTTAACACAACATTGTTACGTTTTATTTTTATAATAATTGTGTCAGTAGTCAATAATTATTTTCTAATTGAATTTGTAAGTCTTATTCTATGAACCTCATTTCTTTTCAAAATTGAAGGCTGACAACAGCAAAAATAATCAAGACGCTTCTATTTGTAAAAAAAATATGGTTGACTACTAATCAATAGTCATAGTTGCTATTTTTCTGCTTGGCACGAGTTGCATTGGTGTATTTGCGTGCCTGTATACGCGCAAGCGCGTGTATTTCTATGTCTGTC